AACGACAGCAACTTGTCTGTTCCCCTTCCCCCAATTCCCCAGCACTGTTCCCATCCCCCCAATTCCCCAATAAAAAAAAATCTTTAAAAAAAATAAAAAATAAAAAAAATAAAGTGTGTCTTATGGGCTACTAGGGGTATTCCTTCTGTGATACATGCTATCCTTCACTAAGAGCAACTGTTGTGTTTTTTCTTCTAAAACTGAAGTGGTATTTTAAAAACATGATCTTCTGTTGCAAAGATGCTGAAATAAGATTTTATTGATCCCTTAAGATTAAGCCGTATACATTTTAAAATTCGTATCATTCCATCCACTTGGGCAGGGGAGACCTGTAAAATACTTCCAAGTTTTAATTAAGTAACTGCCTTACAATGAGAGCAAAAATCTTTAGGCTATATTAAAAATAAAGTAACTAGGGCCGGCCGAGTGGCGCAATGGTTAAGAGCTGGCTTGGGACGCCAGAAGGCCCCGGTTCGGATCCCACATATGAGGACCAGTGACGCTGCCCTCTACAGCTAAGATGCTGAACGACAGCTCAACCTGGAGCTGGGCTACCATGAGTTGCCGGCGATGTCTTAGGCTGCAGCCATTGCTGCAGTGAGTTGCCATGGGATACCACGTGTAGCCAGCAGCCAGCGTGAGCAGCCCTCAAGCCGCCATGAGCGGCCGACCAGAAGCCGGCGACTGATTTGCCTCGCCTGGGAAGAGCGCAATGATGGTGCCAACTTGGGCCAGTGAAGCAACGTCCTGCACTCAACTAGACTGAAGAACAAAAAAGACAGCAACTTGTCTGTTCCCCTTCCCCCAATTCCCCAGTGCTGTTCCCATCCCCCAATAAAAAAATTTAAAAAAAATCAAGATGCAGAAAAGATGATATGGGAGAGGAATTTTTCCCCCTTTTGTATATGCAAATATCTTTGGAAAAACAGTTAACAAACAGCTAACATCGGTTGCCTGTGGGTAGGAGAAATGGGTAACTGGGGTCAGTTGGGTTAATATATTATCTATATATATATATTTTTTAAGATTTTATTGGGGAATTGGGGGAGGGGAACAGCATTGGGAAATCGGGAAGGGGAGCAGACAAGTTGCTGTCCTTTTGTTCTTCAGTCTAGTTGTGGAGGACGTTGCTTCACTGGCTCATGTTGGCACCATCAGTGCGCTCTTCCCAGGTGAGGCAGTCGCTCGCTGGCCACTGGACAGCCGCTCACGGCGGCTCACAGCAGCTCACAAAAGCTCAAGCCCGTTGCCGGCCAGCCCCACTGCAGCCTATGCCGTCGCCAGCGACTCATGGCAGTCCAGCTCCAAGTCGAGCTGTTGTTCACCATCTTAGCTGTAGAGGGCGCAGTGTCACTGGCCCTCATGTGGGATCCAAACCNTTTTATCAAGTCTCTTGCTTTTCTGAGCTGTGCAAAACAATTTCTACTTTAAAAAAAATATTTTAATCAATGGATAGGTGGTATAGTACAAGAAATAAGTCATTATTCTGTTCCCCTTCTAAAACTAAACGCCATTCATTACCTGGCCTTCTGCATGTTTCCAAGGTCTATAGATGAGGTCTACGGGGAACACTTCCATACCCAGACCCCTCTGAATGCCATAAACCACATTATGAAGTCCTTTACTGTCACGAATTTGAAATCCAGGGTGGTCGAGTTCATAAGTTACTTCCTTGAAATTCAAACTTGGGTTCTAAAAGAGAAAAGCATTTGAAAGTTGAATGAACAAAAGTATACATATTTTGATGTTTTAGCCAAAGAGCAAAATTAAATCTGAAATTCAATCAAGATGTTCTAATTATAAACTCAAAATCATCTGAATCTTTCTGGAATTTCCGGAGAGACTTAGAAAGGTTACGTCCTTAATATTCAAAATGAACTGGCTCTACTACCAAGGTACTTTGAACTTTCAGTTCATGACATACTTCAAAAGGTGTGAGGTGAGTGCATAAGTAGGAACTCTCTCTTCCCCTACTTGGTCCAGTGAACACTCCCATCCCAACAAAAACAGGAACCCTTCACTAAGTGCCTCTTGTCTTGACACTAAGATTCTACTACCATGGACCAAAGTAACAAAAGAAAATCGATTATACCAAACACCATTCTTAATTAAAGATCTCTACAAGCATACTAATGTATGTATCAGGGAAAGTTGTCGAGATTGTTTGTATCAAAATGACTGAAAATTCCATTAAAAAAAGTTGTATGAAAGCTATTCATTTTTTAGCATATGAAATTCTTTGAGAAACACAAAGCAAAAGAAAACAAGTTTACAGAAAATAATTTACAACAAACACTCTGCACAAGTAAGTACATTTCATGCTTGAAAGGAAAAAAAGCTGTGCACTTTGTATTTAAATCTCCAACTAAGGAATCACATCCAGTTTAGTTTTGCTCTAAGGCAACTCCTTTTAAGCCATGAAGACTTCAATGCTTGCTTTGTATATGGTACAAAGAACAAACTTCAAATGAGGCACTGACTCTCTAAGGCAACAATAACGTTTAGAAAACAGTACTTTCTTCCTTCTAAAATTTGTTTCAAAAACTGCAACAGAACAGGACCATAAACATACTGTTAAATACCATTATCCTGGATAGAGACAAGTTTTGTAATCCACAGGCATGCCCCTCTGGATTCCTCCTCACATCCTTGGTGGGCAATCAAAAAAACAAATCACTGACCCAATGTGTATCTGAGATTGTCTTCTGCTCCCTGCCTCCAAAAAATGTACAGAAAACTCGGGCTGGCCAAGTGGCTCAGTTAGTTAAGAGTTAGCTTAAGAGCATGAGCTCTGAGCAACAGGGCTGTTGGTTTGATTCCCACATGGGCCAGTGACGCTGTGCCCGAGCTGAGCTGCCACCAGGTGACAGAATGGCTCAGCTGGTGACAGCATGTGCTCCTAACAAGACTGCCTGTTTGATGGTGGGCTATGCCTACCCACAACTAAGACTGAACTTGGCACCTTGAGCTGAGCTACCACCCGGATGGCTCACTGGATAGAGCATGCGCTCTTAACAACAAGGTTGCTGGTTTGACTTCTGCATGGGATGGTGGCAACCACCACCCGCAACTAAGATTGTGACACAACACCTTGAGCTTATAGGCCATGAGCTGCCGCCGGGAAGCCAGATGGCAACTGGCACCTTCCACAACTAAGACTGAAGAACAACAACTTGGCTGGTCCCCTTCCCCAATTCCCCAACACTGTCCCCCCCCCATTCCCCAATTAAAAAAAAAGTACAAAAGACAAATAATAAAACAAAACTTAAAAAAAAAAAGTACAGAAAACTAATATACAACAATAAAAGGAAAAAGGAAGAAAAGAGGTTACTGATTCAATTATTCAGACTCACAGTGCAGGCACTCAATTTATATCCTTTCACACTCTCTGAAATCAGAAAATAAATTCAGATAACATGGACTACCATCCTTGTCTGCAGTTTTAAAAGTGTTTTTAACAGGGCAATAAAATACAAAGAAAACTACTGAGTAAAACGGGCATGTTTTCACTTTTGCAAGAGAACCACAGGAGAAAAAAAAAACATTAACTTGTTATCTATAAGTGATATAACAGGTTTATTTTGCTTTTCTTTCTTTTTTCACATTTTATGTTTTCTGTCATAATCAAGTATTTTTCCCCCTCCATTACTAAAGGAGAATGAGTTTGAACACTGTAAATTCATATATTTAAAAAATTAATTAAAAAACCATTAATGTTGTCAGCAGTAAGATCATACAGAAAACAGCATGATTTTCTATAACTCAATTTTACCTATATGATACAAATGTGAAAATAAAATAGGATGTATATATATGACCTGACAAGATATACAGAGGGTGCCCCAAAAATATATACATTTTAAGAAAGGAAAAAACTGTATTAAAACTGTAATACTCAATATATACTGACAACAAAAGATGAATACAAGTCATGTTTGACTTCTGCAATTACAAGGTGCTCCAAGTGGTTAACATCAGAGTAATTTTAATAGTTTTTTCCTTTCTTAAAATGCGTATACATTTTTTTGGCACCCTCTGTATATATATGACCTGACACTTTATAAAGGTCATAAATATGCATAGATAGTGGTCTTTACTCAAATGTCTTTTGCTCCTTGACAATTTATGAACAAGACTGAAGATATTACATCTTGACTCCACTACTCTCCCACTGACTAAATTTCATCACACCCTTTTATTATCTAAAAGCTTATTCTTGTATGTTTTAAGTATTTCAATATTTTAGGAGAGGTAATTTGTTTATCTGGGGGTCTATTACTTAGTTTATGGATATTCCAGAAGTGGAAGTAGCAAGGTAAGTCTGGGGGTGACTGGTTAGCTCAGTTGGTTGGAGCCTGGTAACACCAAGGTTGCCAGTTCAATCCCCACATGGGCCAATGTTAGTTGCGCCCTCCCTAAACTAGTCAATTCTGCCACTGTAGCATGAAAGTAATGTGTAGCCAATGACCATGGCTGTTCCCCAATAAAAAAA